GGTGTGAATGAATCATAGCTTAGCTAGAGTCAAGGAGTCAAATCCCCAGCTGCTGTACATAAACACAGAGAAAGTCTCTGCCCCGAAAGAGTTCACAAGCTCTATGGGCAAGACAGAGAAAGACTGAAAGTAGGGAAGGGGGTTTCTCAAGGTCAGACAGCTGGGGATAGAACCTAGCAGCTCTGAACCCCGTTCCAGCTGGTTATCCACCAGACCACACTGCTTATCAATTACAGTGACTTTATTGGCACTGCTGTGGGTTTACACTGATGTAACCAGATGTAGGGCCTAGAGTCCCTAGTGCTTTTCTTTCCCACTTGATACTCCTTAAAACATATGACCACAAACATTAAAAACAACAGGTAAACCCTGGAGGGGAATTTTTCTTTAGGAAATGGAATTTTACCATTTGTCCCTTCTCTGGACAACCTGGCATCATCCACCATTGCAGCCATGGAAAAATCCACCGGCAGCGAAGGGAAAAACGCCCCCAGCTTTTGGGAAGCGCAGCTCCCTTGGGACAGAGATGATGGGTCAGTTTCCGGCTGGCCCTGGGTCCGGCTGCGGTTCAGGCTGTTCTCCTCCAGAAGGCACCGCAGCACAGTCAGCGTGGCTCTCCATAGACAGGGCGCACCAGTTTATTCCAGCCTCTGCTGTCCCGTGGCCGAGTTCTCCTGCCAGCCCCTCATACGTGGTGAGGCATGTGGGGGCTCAGCCAGGGGCGCTGGAACAATGTGTACAGTGGGGTGCTGAGAACCATTGAACCAAACTGTAAACCCTGGATCTGATGGAAACCACTTCAAGCCAGGGGGTGCAGCAGCCCCCGCTCTCCCCCCAGCACCCTTAGTTCCAGCACCTGTGGGCTCAGCGGCAGGGCAGGTATTGAGGGGAGGGGAGGCTCATGCTTGGCCCCACCTCCAGCTGTGACATCACTGCCTGATGTCTGACCTTCACCATTCAGACACCGGCTCTCTCGCCTCCCTCGGCCCAGGGCTGCGGGTGGAGGAGAAGAGCTGCCGCCTGGGTGACTCTCTCCCAGGCTGGCTGGAGAGAAAAGCGGGGGCACCCTGCAGAAGAGCCGAGATGCTGGGGGGATGGTCACGATCCCAGGCTCAGCCATTGTGCTGATTTGTCTTTTCAGTGAATAAAATTCCAAATCCCATTTCTGAAAGATTCTCCACCTCCGCCTCCCCCTTCATTACTGGTGCCGAGAGATTAAACAGACCTTCCTCCTCCTCCTCCTCCTCTTCCTCTTCCTTCCCCCTCCTCTTCTGCAATAAAGGATGCTCTCAGGCAGGCATTTAGGTGCCCAAATCCCACTGGAATTGAATTTCAATGGATTCTGGGAATCTAAATAAAGGGGAGGGTGATCTGTTCTCCATGTCCACAGTGTGGGACAAGAAATAACTGGCTTAGTTTGCAGGAAGGGAGATTTAGATTAGATGTTAGGAAAACCTTTCTAACTATAAGGAGAGTTGAGCTCCAAACAGATTAAGTAGGGAGGCTGTGGAATCCCCATCGTTGGAGGGTTTGAAGATCAGGTTAGACAAACACCTGTGAGGGATGGTCTCATGGTCGGGGGGGGGGGGGAGCACTGCACGACCTCTTGAGGTCAGCCTGACTTTTCTATGATTCCATGAAATCCCTGCAGATCCTTAAAAACTCCTTGAACAAAGAACTCCCCTCAGTGACAGCATCCTCCGACTAACCTCTCTTTCCCCCTCTCCTTGTGCCAGGCTCCAGCATGGAAGATGCTGTAACTCAGACCCAGCCTTCAGTGTCAGGGGTGGAGCGCGAGTCCGTTTCCCTGGACTGCACTTATGAAACAGCTGCTAGCAGTTATTATTTGTATTGGTACAAACAGCCCCCTGGGGAAAGCCTTCTTTTCCTTTCTTGGCAACATTCTGGAGGAACAAAGAGGAATGAGGCCGGGGAGAGATTCTCTGTTAATTTGGAGAAGTCCAGACGCTCTGTCAGTATGAGGATCACAGCTCTGGAATTGGGGGACGCGGCCATGTACTTCTGCACTTTCAGGAGAGACACTGTGTTGAAATTCATAGGGAGCCCTGAACAAAAGCTTGACACCTCTCCAACTACTGTAAGAAACTGACTCCTGCAGGTGAAGTTAGGAGGCGAGCACGGGCAGGAAAGGGGTGTGGGGGTGGGGGGAGGGCTATGAAGTGGGGTGAGACCTGCCACGGTTGGGTTTCTGGAGATGAAAACCTCTTCCTGATTTCTGGGAAAAGGGGGCACCACAATGGTACTCAGAAATTCGCCGCAAAGAGGAGATGGAACAAGACAAAAGCAGAATAAGATCCCATGGCTGGAAGCCGGAGTGAAACAAATTAAGACTAGAAAGAAAGTGCACATTTTTAACAGTGAGGGTAATTAAACACTGAAACAACTGACCCAGGGACATGGTGGATTCTCCATCATTTGAAGTCTTCAAATCAAGACTGGGTGTCTTTCCTCTAGGTCAGCCACAAGATATGGGCTGGATGCGGGTATCCCTGAGTATCCTTCTCTGGCCTGTGTTAAAGCAGGAGGTCAGACTAGATGATCACAAAGGTCTCTTCTCACTTTAGGATCTATCCATCAATCAATCTATTAATATCTCACTGTGGGCTGGCGAAGTATGGGATGGGTTCCTTGTGGATCTATTCAAAACTAATGGTTGCTGGGCATTTAATTCCCCTAGGCTCCTTTGAAAACCCTAGTTGAAATTCCATCCTGGGTTGACATTTAACCCAAGGGACACCTAACCCTCACTTCTGGACTCAACTGGCACTTAGGGCTCTGCACAGGGGCAAACATCATGGTATGGTCAGAGGAGCTCAGTTATTCCTGGAAAGAGAACTCCCAGATTTATACTGAGGCTGGCATTCTCAAAAAGCCCTAGAGGATTTAGAGGATCAACTTCCATTCAAATTCAAAAGTATGTGGGCATCCCTTAGGCTGCTTTGGAAATGTGGATACTCAAGCTGCATGAATTTTAATGGGAATCGGGCATCTTTTTCTCTTGGGCTAGTTTCAAACTCTCAGCCTGCATGTTCAAATCACAGGAACTACAAACTGCATTGAAAGTGCACGGTTCCCCATCACCTAAAACCGAGAGCGAAGTAACAGAAATCCCTCAGGCCCTGCTGGGTTGATCTGAAAAGAAAATGTAATAAAAATGTGGCAAACCCTGTTCTGAAAGCAAACAAACAGGCTTGTGGTCACGTGCTGCCATCTGGTGACCATTGCGTTGCACTTTGACAGCTGCAGGAACTAATGAAAATTTGTGCAGGAGTTTTCACCACTGTTTTACTACCAAATATAAAGGCACATCCTTATTTCAGCCTGGACATTGAAATGTCATTTAGACACATAACTACTTATGTGTTTCACGGACACAGACACAAACACAAAATCTCTGTCACACACACTCACAAAGTTACTCTCTTTCTTCTTTGTCTCTCATACACACACACACACACACTTCTACATAAGTGAACTCACAATTCACATGCACAAACAAGTCACACACTCCCAGAATAACACATATACCAAATTTTCTCTTACATACAACAAACAGCCACACAATCACTCATACACAACCTTCAAATTCTCTCACTCACACACCATAAAGTGACACACACATCCCAAACTCACTCACGCATGCAGATCAAACATAAATGCACTCTCTCAAAGTCCTGCACACAACTTTCTCTCTCTCTCTCTCTCTCTCTCTCATACACACACACACATTTCAGAGTAACAGCCGTGTTAGTCTGTATTCGCAAAAAGAAAAGGAGTACTTGTGACACCTTAGAGACTAACCAATTTATTTGAGCATAAGCTTTCGTGAGCTACAGCTCACTTCATTGGATGCATGTAGCTCACGAAAGCTTACGCTCAAATAAATTGGTTAGTCTCTAAGGTGCCACAAGTAATCCTTTTCTTTTTACACACACATTTGTTTGTCTGCTGCAACCTGGTCATTTCTGGCCTTCTTGATATCAGAAATATTTGAAAATCTGTCCCCTTGTTTCCTCTGACTGAGAATAACTATTGCTAGACTCCTTAACTTCATAAAAACTCAAGAAATGTGCCATTGTGAGGCTAGGTGGCCAAATGTCACTGAAATGCAACAGGACATGGGTTCCTAAATCCCTTTGGTTCCTTTGAAAATCCCAGGCTAAATCCATTCATGTCTGTCTGGTGCTGAGATACTGCAGGGGTTGGGTCGGGGGGGTGGGATGGGACAAAAGCGCGTTTAAAATATTTTCAAAGGAGCCCAAGGGAATTAGGAACTCAGCTCCCTGTGGAATTCAAGGGAAATTGGGCTACAAACTCCCTCAGAAATCTTTGACCATTCCAGCCTAAAACTGCCTGCATTGGGTATTTCTCTGGCCATATTATCACAGTATCTATCCACCTCACAATCATCACTTTATTGGTCCACACAATACCCGTGTTAGGTGGGAAAGTTACCCCCATTTTATGGCTGGGGATCTGAGGAACAAAAGGACAGATTTTTAAAGGGCTTTAAGTACCTGGTGGGATTTTTCACAAGTGCCTCGGTGCCAAACACCCTTTGAAATCAATGGGTGTTAGGAGTCCTGGGTGTATTTGAAAACCCCACTGGGCCACCCTTTAAAAACGTGGCCCTGAGTGATTTGCTGAAAGCCACCCAGAATGTCTGTGGTGGAGGAAGGACTCGAACCCAGGCCTTGGCTAACATTAGAGCCCCTGGACATCGCAGCGGGTGCTGGTCAGATACTGCCAAGGAAGCCCCTCGTGCTGGGTGCTTTTGTCTACGCTGTGATTGTACAGCTCCGAGAAGGCAGCTGAGCTTGTGCAGGAGCAAGGGGCGGCAGTTACAGGATCCTAGGCTGGGGGTGTCACATGCTGTGTCTGAGCCTAAGAAAACATCAGGCCGAGATGAGCCAGGCACCATTGCACCTCAGTGCCCGGCTGCTACCGGTCTCAGAAATTCACCTCACCCCCTGGGAATCATGAGACTGCAAAGCCCCTGGGTCTTTCTTCCTTTGCACTGTAAGTTTCTGCTCAGAACACTCTGGGCTCCTCCAAGGCAGCTGCTTCGCTTGTCGGACATTGAGGCAGAAATGAGTGGAGACGTATTTGATTCAGCTCCCTGCTCTGTTTGATTCAGAGTTACACCACCTATATATGGGAAAGAGGGGGCTGCCAATGGGACACACTCCGTGCCTGATCTATTTACAGAGTCATCTTGTCCCGGGGTTCTTTGTTAGCATTTCTTGCCTCTTTTCAGACTGGGGAAGATTCTAGGTGGAGAGAGATAGGGTGCATGGGTCAATGGATGGACGGAAAGGTGCTTCAGAGGGAAGGATAGGGAGATAGCACATAGGGAAGAATGGTCAGATAGGTAGACAGGCAAAGTAACACACTCTCACCTACACTTGAATATTTTAACTGGTATTTTGTTTCTCTCCAGTCTCCTGCTGCGAAGCCCAAGTGGATCAGAGCCCCCAGTCGCTGGCTACTTGGGAAGGGGAGGTTGTCACCATGTCCTGCACGTTCACCACCAAGTACCAAACCTTCCACTGGTACCAGCAGCTCCCTGGGCGAGACCTGACCTACCTGCTGGCCCTGAGCCCTCAGGACAACGCTACCGAGCAGCGGTTCGTGGGGCAGCCCCTGGAAGATGGGAAACGCAGCTCTCTGCACATCACCGACTCCCAGCTGGGGGACTCAGGCAGCTACCTCTGTGCAGTAAGAGCACAGTGACACAGGCAGAGCTGGGCTCAGGGCAAAAACTCTCATCTTCTGAGAGACAGCTTAGGGCAGGAAATGCAGGGACAGATCCTCAGACGGTGTAAAGCAACATTACTCCATGGAAGTCAATCACAGAATCATAGAAATGTAGAACTGGAAGGGACACTGATAGGTTATATAGGTCAGGCTTCTGCACTGAAGCAGGAGTGAGTATTATCTAGACCATCCCTGACAGGTGTTTGTCTAACCTGGTCTTAAAAAAACCCCAGTGATGGAGATTCCACAACCCCCCTAGGCAATTTATTCCAGTGCTTAACCACCCTGACAGGGGGCTTTTCCTACCGTCTAAACTAAATCTCCCTTGCTGCAACTTAAGCTCATTACTTCTTGTCCTGTCCTCAGCGGTTAAGGAGAACAATTTATCACCTTCTTCTTTAAAACAACCTTTTACCTACTTGAAGACTGTTATCATGTCCCTCTTCCTTCTCTTCTCCAGATGAAACATGTAGTTTTTTCCTCTTTTCCCTCTAGATCATGTGTTCTAGACCTTTAATAATTTTTGTTCCTGCCCCCTGGGCTTTATCCACATTTTTCCTGAAGTCTGGTGCCCTAAACTGGTCGCAATACTTGAGTCACAGAATGATGTCCACTGTTTTTGCAACAATATTACAACGCTGACTAATATTTAGTTTGCGATCCACTACAACCCCTAGATCCTTTTCTGCAGTACTCCTTCGAGGGCTGGATTAACTCTTCTGGGGTCCTGGGGCTATTAGATTTTGTGGGGCCCCTCGGCTCCAGGGTAGGGCCAAAAATGAGGGGTTCAGTATGTGGGAGAAGACTGAGACATGAGGGTGGGTGTGGGAGGGGTGAGGGATCCAACTGGGGGTGCAGGCTGTAGGGTGGGGCTGGGGATGAGGCCTTAGGGATGCAGGAGGTGGCTCCAGGCTGGGGCCAAGGGGTTTGGAGTGTGGGAGGGGGCTCAGGGCAGGAGGTTGGGGTGGGAGTGCGGGGTCTGAGAGGGAATTAGGGTGCGAGAGGGGGCTCAGGGCTGGGGTCTGGATTCTAGGCAAAAGTTAGGGTTTGGGAGGGGGCTCAGGGTTTTGCTGTGGGGGTCTACCATCTAGAAGAGATTTAGGGTGCTCGAGCAGGCTCAGGGCTTGGGCTCAGAGTAGGGGCTCAGGGTTGGGGTGTGGGGTCTGGGAGGGAATTAGGGTGTGGGAGAGGGTTCAGGGTTGGGTTAGGGGGTTGGGTTGAGGGTCACTTACCTGGGGCAGCTCCCCTTTGTTGTGTGTGTGGAGGGGAACAAGTGGCTTTGCGTGGCCCATGCTGCTGCCCTGGCATGCAGCCTCCACCCCCGCCGCTCCCATTGGCCACGATTCCTGGCCATACTTCCTAACTTTCCTATACATTAGGATAGTTTTCTCTTCTGGCCATAATAATATCCCTCTAGAAAAACTGCCAACTCTCCTGCTCTCTTTTTCCCTATAGACTTGCTTACCAGGGGATCTTACTTACCAATTCTCTGAGTTTTTAAGGGACAGATCCTCAGCTCTTGTAAATTGGCAGTGGTTCATTGGAGCCAATGTAGCCATATCCCCAGCAGGTGTAAATCAGTGTAGAAAATGGGGAATGAAACTGTGTTTGTTTCTGTATCATTCTCGTGATCCTTCAGCTGGGATTCCTCTGAAGCAAAAAACTTCTTCCCACCCCCTCTCTGTCCCAGGGCAGCAGATGGCTCGAGAGGGCTCACCCTCCTCCCCTGCAGACCCTGGTTAATTCCCGCAGCCTGAGGTCCGGGCTGTCCTCAATGTCCCCAGCCCAGCCCAGGTCACAGAGCTGCCGTTCCTCCCCGGGGCACACAATGAAACGGCAGCCTCTGTAGGCGGAGAATCCTTCCCCTTGAGAAGGCTGAAACCTGAGGGGAGGGAGAATTCTCATTTCCACTGGCCTCCTGAAAACCTTCCACGGATTGACTCTGCCTCGGTATATTCCTCTGCAAGGGAGAGAAGAAACGGAGCTCACCATGGCCTCAGGGAGAGGAACTGCTCTGTGGAGCCTTCTCCTCACCTTTGCTTTTCTCTGTGAGTGAAACAAATATCTTCTCGTTCTAAAGGGTAAAAAGATGCAAACTCTTAAAAGTCAGTGAGGGGCAAGATCTTATAGATGGATAGGTAAATAGTTAGATAGATAGCTCTCCATTACACTGTCTAACTATGAGCTACTGAACCCATCAGGAGAGAGGGGCCTGCCAATGGGACATATCGCAGCCTCTGATCTATTTGAACAGTAATATTGCTTTGGAGTTCTTTGTTATCATTCCTTGTCCTGCTTTTTTAAGATTCAGGGAGTGTACAGAGAAGAATAAATAGATGCTGATGGCAAGATCTATATCTAACTGTATAGACAAGTAGATATAGATACTGGGGATAGAACAATAGAGTGATGGATGGAGTCTGCAGAGGGAAGGCTGGATAGATAGATCCATAGATAAAGAGTCAATGTAACACTCTCATAGTCTTTATTTTACCTGCTGTTATTTTTTTTCCCTCCAGTCTCCTGCTGCAAAGCCCAAGTGGTTCAGAGCCCCGAGTGGCTGGTTACTGGCGAAGGGGAGGTCACCACCATGTCCTGCTCTTTCACCAGCGCTTACCGAACCTTCTACTGGTACCAGCAGCTGCCTGGGCAAGGGCCGACCCACCTGTTGACCACGAGCTCTAATGACAATGTCACTGTGGGGCGGTTCATAGGCGAGCGCCTGGAAAGTGGGAAACGCAGCTCTCTGCACATCACCGACTCCCATCTGGGGGACTCAGGCAGCTACCTCTGCACGGTGGATGCACAGTGACACAGGCAGAGCTGGGCTCAGGGCAAAAACCCTCAGTCTCTGACAGGCAGCTTAGGGGAGGAGATGCAGGGACATATTCCCAGATGTTGCAAAGCAACAGTAGTCCATGGAAGTCGATCACAGAATCATAGAAATGTAGAACTGGAAGGGACACTGATCAGTCGTAGAGTCCAGTCCCCTGCACTGAAGCAGGAGTGAATATTATTTAGACCACCCCTGACAGGTGTTTGTCTTAAAAACCTCCAGTGATGGAGATTCCACAACCTCCCTAGGCAATTTGTTCCAGTGCTTATCCACCCTGAGAGGAAGCTTTTCCTAACGTCTAACCTAAATCTTCCTTGCTGCAATTTAAGCTCATTACTTCTTGTCCTGTCCTCAGTGGTTAAGAAGAACAATTTATCATCTTGTTCTTTAAAATAACTTTTACCTATTTGAAGACTGTTATCATGTCTCCCCTCCTTCTCTTCTCCAGATGAAACATACACAGTTTTTTCTCTTTTCCCTCACAGATCATGTTTTCTAGACCTTTCATAATTTTTGTGGCTGCTCCCTAGGCTTTGTCCACACTTTTCCTGAAGTGTGGTGCTCAGAACTGGTCACAATACTGCATTGGAGGCCTTATCAGTGCTGAGTGGAGTGGAAGAATTACTTCTCTTGCTTAAGCGGGAAAGAGTCCTGTGGCACCTTATAGACTAACAGACTTATTGGAGTATAAGCTTTCATGGGTGAATACCCACTTCGTCGGATGCATTCTCTTGCTTAAAGCGCTCCAGTTAACATATTCCAGAATGATGTTCATTTTTTTGGCAACCATATTATGTTGCTGACTAATATTTAGTTTGTGATCTACTGTAACTCCCAGATCCTATTCTGCAGTACTCCTTCCTAGGCACTCATTTCACATTCTGTGTTTGTGCAATTGATTCCTAAGGGGAGTACTTTGTATTTGTCCTTATTGAATTTCATCCCATTTAACTCAGACCACTTCTCCAGTTTGTCAAGATCATTCTGAATTCTAATTCTGTCCTCCAAAGTACTTGCAACCCCTCCCAGCTTAGTATCTTTTGCAGACTTTACAAGTGTACTCTCTGTGGCATTGTCCATAAACCATTCATGAAGATATTTCATAGAACAAGACCTGGGACAGATTCCCCATGGGACCCCATTCGATATGCCCTTGTAACTCAACTGTGAACCATTGATAACTATTCTCTGTGTACACTTTTCCAGGCAGTTGTGCACCCATCTTATATAAGGTTTGTCTGGGTGATATTTCTCTAATTTGTTTATGAGAAAGTCAGGTGAGACAGTAGCAAAAGTCTTACTAAAGTTGAGATGTATCCCATCTACCACTTCTCCCCTATCCATGAGACTTGTTAAAGAGGGAACTATCTTCGTTTGACATGATTTGTTCTTGACAAATCCATGCTGGCTGTTATTTATTATCTTATTTTCTTCTAGGAGATTACAAATATATTGTTTGATCATTTTTTGCTACATTATCTTTGCAGACCCTGAAATTAAGCTGACTGGTTTATAATTCCCAGGGTTGTCCATATTCCCCTTTTTAAAGACAGGCACTACATTTGTCCTTCTCCAGTCCTCTGGTGTCTCTCCCGTCCTCCATAAGTTCTCAAAGATAATCACTGATGCTCAGAGATCTCTTCATCCAGTTACTAGGATGTATTTCATCAGATCCTGCCAACTTGAAGACATCTAACTTGTCTAAGTAATTCTTAATTTTTTCTTTTCCTGTTTTAGCCTCAGTTCCTACCCCCATTTACACTGACGTCCACTATGTTAGCTGCCCAATCACTTTTTTTGGTGAAAATGGAAACAAAATAGGCATTTAACAATTCAGCCACTGCTGCATTTTCTGTTATTGTCTTTCCATCCTTAATGAGTAGTGGGCCAACCCTGTTCTTGGTCTTCCTCATGCTTCTTGTATATTTGTAAAATACTTTGTTATCCTTTATGACCCTAGCTAGTTTAATCTCATTTTGTGCCTTGGCTTTTCTAATTTGTTCCCGACATGCTTGTGCTGCTGTTCTTAAATATTTGCTCTCGTTTCTACTGTTTACCTCTTTCTTTCTTTCTTTCTTTCTTTCTTTCTTTCTTTCTTTCTTTCTTTCTTTCTTTCTTTCTTTCTTTCTTTCTTTCTTTCTTTTGAGTTTCAGGTCATTGAAAACCTCCTGGTTGAGCCAAGGTGGCCTCTTACCATACTTCCTAACCTTCCCATACCTTGGGATAGTTTGCTTTTGTGCCCTTCATAATATCTCTCTAAAAACCGCCAACTCTCCTGAACTCTTTCCCCCCCATAGATTTGCTTCCCAGGGGATCTTACCTACCAATTCTCTGAGCTTTCAAGGGGACAGATCCTCAGCTCTTTTGAATTGGCAGTGGTCCATTGGAGTCAATGGAGCCATATCCCCAGCTGCTTTAAATCGGGGTAGGTCCATTGGAGTAAATGCATGTTGAAGAGGTGTATGGCTCTGTATCATTGCCATCCTTCCCCTTGAGAGGCTGTAACCTGAAGGGACAGAAAATTCTCATTTCCACTGGTCTCCTGCAGACCTTTCTCGGATTGACTCTGCTTCGAACTGCATCTGCAAGGGAGAGAAGAACGGAGCTCACCATGGCCTCAGAGAGTGGAGCTACTCTGTGGGGCCTTCTCATCACCTTTATTTTTCTCTGTGAGTGAAACAAATATTTCCTCATTCTAAAGGGCAAAAGGATGCAGATTCTTAGATGTCACTGAGAGTTTAAAATCTCTTAGATAGATAGAGGAATGAAGATCTCTCTCTCTCTCTCTCTCTCTCTCTCTCTGAGCTACTGCACCTATTTGTTTCCCTCCAGTCTCCTGCTGTGAATCCCAAGTGGTTCAGAGCCCCGAGTGGCTGGTTACTGGCAAAGGGGAGGTCACCACCATGTCCTGCTCTTTCACCAGCACTTATCAAACCTTCTACTGGTACCAGCAATGCTCCAGGCAAGGGCCAGCAAATCTGTTGACCGCAAGCTCTAATGACAATTTCACTGTGGGGCGGTTCATAGGCGAGCGCCTGGAAAATGGGAAACACAGCTCTCTGCACATCACTGATTCCCATCTGGGGGACTCAGGCAGCTACCTCTGTATGGTGGATGCACAGTGACACAGGCAGAGCTGGGCTCAGGGCAAAACCCCTCAGTCTCTGAGAGACAGCTTAGGGGAGGAGATGCAGGGACATATTCCCAGGTGTTGCGAAGCAACATAACTCCATGGAAGTCGATCACAGAATCATAGAAATGTAGAACTGGAAGGGACACTGATCAGTCGTAGAGTCCAATCCCATGCACTGAAGAAGGAGTAAGAATTATCGAGACCAGGGCTTCTCAAACCTGGTCCATGGCTTGTTAAGGGTAAGTCCCTGACACGCTGCAAGATGCTTTGTTTACCTGAGCATCTGCAGGTACGGCAGCTCGCAGCTCCCAGTGACCAGGGTTCACAGTTTCCAGCCAATGGGAGGTGCAGGAAGTGGTGGCCTGCACCGCGCCGCTTCCCACAGCTCCCATTGGCCAGAAACGGTGCACCGCAGCCACTGGGAGCTGCGAGCTGCCCTGCCTGCAGATGCTCAGGTAAACAAAGCATCTTGCAGCGTGCCAGGGGCTTACCCTGAACAAGCCATGGACCAGGTTTGAGAAGCCCTGGTCTAGGTGATATTTCTTTAGTTTGTTTATGTGAGACAGTATCAAAAGTCTTACTAATGTTGAGAAATATCCCATCTACAGCTTCCCCCCATCCACAAAACTTGTTATTCTGTCAAAGAAGGATACTACCTTGGTTTGACATGATTTTTTCTTGGCAAATCCATGTTGACTGTTATTTATTACCTTATTTTCATCTCGGAGGTTACAAATAGATTGACTGATTATTTGCTCCATTATCTTTCCAGATACTGAAATTAAGCCTACTGGTTTATAATTCCCCACGTTTTCCATATTGCCCTTTTTATAGCTAGGTACTATATTTGCCCTTTTCCAGTTCTCTGGTATCTGTCCTGTCCTCCCTAAGTTATCAAAGATAAATCGCTAATGGATTCAGCCAGTTCCTTCAGTATTCTAGGATGTATTTCATTAGGCCCTGCTGTCTTGAAGACATTTAACTTGTCTAAGTAATTCTTAATTTTTTCTTTTCCTGTTTTAGCTCAGATCCTGCCCCATTTACACTGATGTTCACTATGTTAGCTGCCTGATTACTTAACTTTTTTTTTGGGGGGGGGGGGGGTGGAAACTGAAACAAAAAGGGCATTGAACAATTCAGCCATTGCTGCATTTTCTGTTTTTGTCTTTCCATCCTTAGTGAGTAATGAGTCTATCCTGTCCTTGGTCTTTCTCTCTGTTCTTATTTATTTGTCAAATACTGCCTTGATATCCTTTACGATCCTATCTAGTTTAATCTCATTTTGTGCCTTGGCCTTTCTAATTTAGTCCCTACATGCTTGTGGGTTTTTAAAAGTATTTGTCCTTTGTAATTTAATCTAGTTTCTGCTTTTTGCCTGACTTTTTTTTTTTTTTGACTTTCAGGTCATTGAAGACCTCCTGGTTAAGCCAAGGTGGCCTCTTACCACAATTCCTAACTTTCCTATTGGTTGGGATAATTTGCTTTTGTGCCCCTATTAATATCTCTCTAAAAAACTGAAAACTCTCCTGCTCTGTTTCGCCCCATAGACTTGCTTGCCAGAGGCTCTTACCAATTGTCTATGTTTTCAAGGGCTTAGATCTCAGCTTTCCTAACTTGGCAGTGGTCTATTGGAGTCAATGGAGCCATGCCCCCAGCTTATGTAAATCGGCCAAGATCCACAGGAGAAAATGGATGGTGCAGCTGTGCCTGGTTCCGTATCATTTCCATGATAAAAGCTGGAATTCCCCTGTATCAAAGAATTTCTCCCCCGCCTTTCTCTAACCGGACAGCAGATGGCGCTAGAGGGCTCACCCTCCTCCCCTGCAGACCCTGGTTAATTCCCACAGCCTGAGGTCCGGGCTGTCCTCAATGTACCCAGCCCAGCCCAGTTCACAGAGCTGCCGTTCCTCCCCGGGGCACACAATGAAACAGCAGCCTCTATAGGCGGGGAATCCTTCCCCCTGAGAAGGCTAAAACCTGAAAGGACAGAAAATTCTCGTTTCCACTGGTCTCCTGCAGACCCTCCTTGGACTGATTCTGCTTCGGTATCTGCATCTGCAAGGGAGAGAAGAAACGGAGCTCACCATGGCCTCAGAGAGTGGAGCTGCTTTGTGGAGCCTTCTCCTCACCGTTGTTTTTCTGTGTGAGTGAAACAAATATTTTGTAGTTCTAAAGAGCAAAAAGATGCAGAATCTTGGAAGTCAGTGAGGGACAAGATCTCTTAGCCTTTCTTCATGGCTCTGTCAGTAGGGATCTATCTATCGATCTATCTATCCATCCATCCCCATATACCGCCTCTATCTATCTATCCATCCATCTATCCATCTATCTATCGATCTATCTAAAGAGCTACTGCACAAGTCAGGAGAGAGGGGTCTGCCAATGGGCCATAATTCAGCATCTGATCTATTTGAACAGTAATATTGCGTTGGAGTTATTTGTTAGCATTTCTTGTCCTGCTTTTTAAGATTCGGGAAGAGAACAGAAAGAAATATAGAGATGTAGATGGAAAGATCTATATCTATCTGTATTGATATATAGACATGTAGAAATAGATACTGGGCATGGAACAATAGAATGATGGATGTAGGCTTCAGAGGGAAGGCTAGATAGTTAGATCCATAGATATACAGACAACGTAATACTCTCATATTCTTTATTTTACCTGCTATTATTTTGTTTCTCTGCAGTCTCCCTCTGTGAAGCCCAAGTGGTTCAGAGCCCCGAGTGGCTGGTTGCAGGGGAAGGGAAGGTCTCCACACTGTCCTGCTCTTTCACCAGCGCTTACCAAGCCTTCCAGTGGTACCAGCAGCTGCCTGGTCAAGGGCCGACTCACCTGCTGACCGTGAGCTCTAATGACAATGTCACTGTGGGGAGGTTCATAGGCGAGCGCCTGGAAAGTGGGAAACGCAGCTCTCTGCACATCACCGACTCCCATCTGGGGGACTCAGGCAGCTACCTCTGCGCGGTGGATGCACAGTGACACAGGCAGAGCTGGGCTCAGGGCAAAAACCCTCATCCTCTGACAGGCAGTTTAGGGGAGGAGATGCAGGGGCAGTTCCCCAGGTGGTTTAAAGCAACGTAATTCCATGGCAGCCAAAGGGACAGATCCTGACCTGTTATAAATGAAAACAGCTCTAGTGGAATCAATGGGACCATATAGTGAGGACCAGGGGACTGGAACCCAGGCCTCCAGATTATGGGACAGCTGTGTGAAGATCAGCGTAAATCCGGAGTCACTCCACATGTGTTCATTGTATTGACTAGATTACAAGAAATCCGAGACACGAATTCATTTTTTTTTCTTTTCTTCCCACGGGGTACTTTCTCAAGGAAAGTTCATTTCTAAACATAATCAGTGGGAAACCACCTTCCCTTAAGGGAGCCGAATGCAAAATATCTCTGGCTTCAAAGCTATAAGGTCATCCACGTTTCATTAGCAACAAGAAACAAACAACACTACCCCCCCCCCCCCGCCCATGAAAGCCAGAACAAAGTTTTCTGCTCCCCCGTATCCCTGTGCAGTTCAGACAAGAACCCGGGAGGGGGTTCTCCAGAACTGAGACCACTTTCTGGTTGGTCTATAAATACAGTTTTTTCTCTCCACTTCCTCCGTCAAGCCTCACCCCAACCCCTCCAGTCCCGGACCCTGCGAGACTTTTTAGCAGCTCAGCGCAAAGGCAGCTACCAACCAAGCACAGAGCGGTTTGGTGCTTGACACCAAAAGTCACAATTTAATTCGGAGCGGAAGCAGCGTTCCCGGATTCCTTCAGCCCTCAGAAGACAGAGGCCGGCTTCCCTCTGCGAGAAGAGCTTAATTAATTTCTTTTAACATTTCTGGGGACGGGGGGTGCCCGAGTGGAGAGAAAACGGAGCTGCTCCTCTTGCAGAAGCGTAGAGACACCGAATCTTCATTGGGAGGATGCTTAAAACCCTGGCCTCCATGACTGCGCTGCTCCTTGTTTCCAGTGAGTCAGATTCCCACGTGGCATTTCTGGGCATTATTCCCCCCGTATTTATTAATTTTTATTAATGTGTCCAGGTGTCCTTCTCGGCGACACTTCACGCTGCTGCTTCTGCTGCTGCCAGTTTCCCTGTCTGTGTCTGGGGGATTTTTCATGCTCTGGTTTTATTTTATTCCCAGGCGGAGCGGTGGACGGGAAGGTTTCTCAGCCTGCTGCGCTGCTTTTCCTGGCGGGGGGGCAGGGCTGAGCTCCCCTGTAACCACAAGTGTCGCTGGCTACGAGAGAATTTGTTGGTACTCTCAGCGCCCCGGAGCTGCCCCTCGAGCTGTGATCTCTGGCTACAAGTCCGCGGAGACATCGGAGCGGTTTGAACTGTCCATTGACCCCTCCGGCCGGTCCGCCCCGCTGCGCATCACCGAGGTGGCGGTGGAGGACTCGGGGGTGTATTACTGCGCCGTGAGAGGCACAGCGAGAGGAAATGCAGGGCGAGCTGAACAAAAACCTCCCCGAGTCTGCGGGCTTGTCTACACTGCCAAGTTTTGTCACAAAAACTGCCTTTTGGCAGCACAATAGCGAGAGCGTACACACTACCCTGCAAAGGGACTTTGTCGAAAAAAAAAACCACTCAATTTTGGTGACAATAAACTTCCACCCCTGCGAGGGCTTCTCTACACTACCAAGTTTTGTCGATGTCATCATGAAAAAATCGACAAAAGCAAAGGCACCAAAGCGTGTCTAGATTTCCTCCCTCTGTCGACAGATCATGTCCACATTTGGGGCACCATTGGGGCTGTGGAGTGAAAAGGGATGTGCGGGCGTGCGTGGGGGGGGGGGGAGAGGGAGCGTTGGCAAAGACTTGTGCCCGTGCTGCAGTGGAGGTCGACCACGGACCTGCTCAGTCTGCAGCTGGATCAAAGACTTGAGCATCACGGCCCGACCCTCCATCACTTGTATCATCTGCTCTGTTGCTTGCCTAGCAAACGCTGCATTCTCTTTTCTGTCCTGACTGTCGGCTTCCCAGCACTCTTTGCGTTCCCTAGTCTGTCTCTCATCATGCTGCAGCACCTCTATGAACTTGTCTTCTTTGCTGCATCTCAGATTCTTCCGAAGCCGGTGGGCAGGGGTGGGCGGTGTGTTCCTCAAGGACTCAGCTGCTGTGGACAATGCGCAGATGAGGGACTGTTACATTCCAGCGAACGACTGAAACAATCCATTGCAACTGACATACTACACTGATTATGGTGAGAGATTGTGCCACACACTCTCAAAGAAACTGAGGAACCACCTGATCAACATCCTCTACAGCAAGCAGGAGAAGATCAAGAATGAGCTCTCAAACCTGGAGACTCTCATACAAAACCAGCCTTCCACACAAACTTCCACGTGGCTGGACTTTACAAAATCTAGGCAAACCATGTACAATGCACACTTTACTTCCCTACACAGGAAAAAGGGCAGTCAACGATCTAAACTCCTACATGCCACAAGGGGCTACAACAGTGGTACCTTTAATTCACCCAACAATATTGTTAATCTATCCAACCACACACTTAGTCCAACAGAAGAGTCTGTCCTATCTCGGGGACTCCCTTTTTGCCCCACCACCACCACGCACATGATACAGTTCTGCGGTGATCTGGAAGCCTACTTTCTCCATCTCCAACTCAAGGAATATTTTCAACACACCACTGAACAGCGCACTGGTCCACAGGAACCCTCCTACCAACACCACAAGAAGAAAAATTCCGCGTGGATTCCTCCTGATGGTTGAAATGACAGACTGGACTTCTACAGAGGTTCTTAAGGTCAGGCTTGACAAAGCCCTGTCTGGGATGATTTAGTTGGGGATTAATCCTGCTTTGAGCAGGGGGTTGGACTAGATGACCTCCTGAGGTCCCTTCCAACCCTGATATTCTATGATTCTATGATACATAGAGAGCTTCTGCAGATGTGCACAGGCTGAAATTGTGAACAAACAGCATCACTTGTCCCATAACCTCAGCCGTAAAGAACGCAATGCCATCCACAGCCTCAGAAACAACTCTGACATTAAAATCAAAGGGACTGACAAAGGAAGTGCTGTAGTGATCATGAACAGGTGGGATTATGAACAAGAGGCTGCCAGGCAACTTTCCAACACCACATTCTACAGGCCACTATCCTCCGATCCTACTGAGGTGGGGCCTTTGGGAAAGGGGTGGAGTGGGGGCAGGGCTGTGGTGGAGCAGGGGCTGGAGCATCATGCAGCTGCATAGGGCACCAGGAAATTTCGTCCCCCAAATTTTCTGGTGCCCTACACAGCTGTGTACTTTGTATGTGGGTTGGGACGGCGCAGCAAAGAAGACATGTTCAGAGAGATGCAGCAGCATGATGAGAGACAGACCAGGGAATGCAAAGAGTGCTGGGAAGCCAAAAGTCAGGTGTCAGGGTTCCCTCCCCACTCTGAACTCTGGGGTACAGATGTGGGGACCCGCATGAAGGACACCCTAAATTTATATTCCACCTGCTTAGGTTAAAAACTTCCCCAAGGCACAAATTCCTTTCCTTGGATGGTTTTGCTGCCACCACCAAGTGATTTAAACAAATATTCAGGGAGGGGCCATTTGCAGCGATATTTCCTCCCCCTCCCCCCCAAAAAATATTCCCCAACCCTTTCACCAGCTTTCCTGGGGAGACTTGAGAATAATATACCAACCGGTAGGTTAACAAAGTGAGCACAGACCAAATTCCTGGGTTTTAGGACACTAAAAATCAATCAGATTCTTAAAAGAAGAACTGCATTATAAAGAAAAAGTAAAAGCATCACACCTGAAAAATCAGGATGGAAGGTAAATTTACAGGGTAATAAAAGATTTAAAACACAGAGGACTCCCCTCTGGACTTAACTTTACAGTTACAAAAAACAGGAATAAAACTCCCTCTTAGCACAGGGAAAATTCACAAGCTAAAACAAAAGATAATCTAAAGCATTTCCTTGTTATTACTTACAATTTCTGTAATTGTAAATGTATCATCTCAGTAGAAGCTGGACTACTTGCTTGGTCTCTCTCTTTGTCTCAAGGGAGAACACACAGAAAGCACAAACAAAAACCTTCCATGCCCCTCTCCCCCAGATTTGAAAGTATCTTCTTTCCTCATTGGTCCTTCTGGTCAGGTGCCAATTAGGTTATTTGAGCTTCTTAACCACTTACAGGTAAAGAAGGGATTTTATGCTACCCTTAGCTGTATGTTTATGACATCAGGACAGAAAAGAAAACACAGCATTTGCTAGGGAAGCAACTCAGCGAATGATACAAGTGATAGAGGGTCAGGCCGGGATGCTCAAGTCTTTAATCCAGCTGCAGACTGAGCAGGTCCGTGGTCGACCTCCACTGCAGCATGTGCACATGCACAAGTCTTTGCCAACCCACATGCCAGCACATCCCTTTTCACTCCACAGCCCTCCTGGGTTTCCCCGTCGCTCCACCCCCTCTCACAGCTTGGACCATGATCGCTGGAGCTACACACACTTGGGAGTTTTTACCCTTTTTAACAATAAATAAAGGCTAAGGATTTTAATGGTACCGCGTTTTTATTCTGTGTTCTACAAAAGCTGATAGCAATCAATCCACTCTCGGGAGCAGGCTTCTAAAGCATTTTGTTGCATGGATCTTGGGCCCCAAAACTGTACATGGATGCACCAGGGAGGCAACTCCAAAGCAGACATGTGTTAATGCCCCTCATTGTCAAAGTGGTTCCTCAAAGCCTCTCCGACGTTCATAGCAGCCACCTGGGCTCCTCCGACAGCCCTAGCATCTGGCTGCTCAAAGTGTGCAGCCAAGCACTCTGCCTCAGTGCTCCACACCTGAGCAAACCTTTCACCCTTAGAGTAACACAGATTATGCAAAGTGCAGTCCACAGCTATGACCACGGAAATATTATCCTCGGTAAGGTCTAGCCTGCCATTGAGACACCTTCAGCGAGCTTTCAAACAGCCAAAGGCACATTCGACTACCATGCGGCACTGTTGTTACAATGCTCCTTGCTGCCGTCCAGGTGTCCTGTTTAAGGTTTCATGAGCCAGGGCTGTAAGGGGTAAGGCGGGACTCCCAGGATTACGATGGGCATTTCCACATCCCCCACTGTGATCTTGTAGTCTGGAAAGAAAGTCCCTGCCTGCAGCTTTCTGTACAGACCAATGTTCCTGAAGATGCGTGCGTCATGAACCTTTCCAGACCAGCCTTCACTGATGTCTGTGAAACGCCCAAGGTGATCCACAAGCACCTGCAACACCATGGAGAAGTATCCCTTCCTATTGATGTACTCTGAGGCAAGGTGGTCTGGGGCTAAAATTGGAATGTATGTGACATCAATCGGCCCGCCACAGTTAGGGAAACCCATCTCTGGAAAGCCATCCACTATTTCATGCACGTTTCCCAGAGTCACGGTCCTCCATAGCAGGATATGATTTGTTGCCCTGTACACTTGAAGTAATACAGCTCCAACAGTGGACTTTCCCACTCCAAATTGATTTGCAACTGACTGGTAGCAGTTTGAATTCGCCAGCTTCCACACAGCTATTGCAACACGCTTCTCTACTGAAAGGGCAGCTCTCAGTCTGGTGTCCTTGCACTGCAGGTCGGGGAACAGCTCAGCGCATAGCTCCAGGAAGGTTTCTTTCTGCATCCTAAAGTTCAGTACCCACTGGTCTTCATCCCACACCTGCATGACAATGCAATCCCACCAATCAGTGCTTGTTTCCCTAGCCCAAAAAGCGATGGTCTACCGTATGCAGTTGCTCTGTGAATGCCAAAAGCACTGATAAGTTGCTGCCATCCATATCGCACTCGGGTGCCTGTGAGTTGTCCTCTGTCATTAACTTAATGAGTAACTGCTGCCATGCACGATGTCCTTATGGCAGTTGACAGCGCATAGGGAGAGAAGTGCGGGATCCAGCCTCTGTCACTGCAGATGCTGGCGCGCACTAGAAAGACTTGTGACAGTTGGATAAATGGTGCGAAAGGAAGCTGGAAACCCTTGGAGGGCTGGGACACAAAGCAGTGCATGACAGGACATTTTGCACATCCCAGGATGTGCCGTTCTCCATTTCTGCCTTACCACAACACCTAGGGGCAGATGGTGTCACCAGGCGCTGTGGGATACATATGCACAGTGCGTTGCTCATACTGCGGACAATGGTGCCCCGAATGTGGACATGATCTGTCGACAGAGGGAGCAAATGTAGACACGCTTTGGCGCCTTTGCTTTTGTTGATTTTTTCATGTCAACATTAGTTTCATCGACAAAACTTGGTAGTGTAGAGAATCCCTGGGAGTCCTGGGCAGGGAGCTCACACAGACAATCCATTTACAACCTGGGATCCTCAAAGGGGCTGGAGAATCGACCCAGGGAACCCCAGGGAGAAATAAGTGCCCAACTCCCTTAGGCTCTTTTGAAATTCTCAGCTTTTAAAAACACCATGGAGAAGTTCATGACTGTATCCAAAGTCTCAGACACTTAGAACCCTAATTGCTATTGTCTTCCAATGAAATGTCTAGAGAAGAGCAACAAAAAGTGATTAAAGGTCTAGAAAATATGACCTATGAGAGAAGATTGAAAAAAAAGGGGGGGGGGTTGCTGTTTAGTTTGAAAAACAGAAGGCTGAGAGGGGACATGATAATGGTTTTCAAGTATCTAAAAGGTTGTTACAAGGAGGAGGGAGAAAAATTGTTCTCCTTAACCTCTGAGGCTAGGACAAGGAGCAATGGGCTTAAATTGCAGCAAGGGAGGTTTAGGTTGGACATTAGGAAAAACTTCCTAACTGTCAGGGTGGTTAAGCACTGGAATAAATTTCCCAGGGAGGTTGTGGAATCTGCATCGTTGGAGATTTCTGAGAGCAGGTTAGACAAACACCTGTCAGGGATGGTCTAGATAATGCTTAGTCTTGCCATGAGTGGAGGGCACTGGACTAGATGACCTCTTGAGGTCCCTTCCAGTCCCACAGTTTTATGATTCTATGAAGGGTCAGATTTGCAAAGGTATTTAGGGACCTAAAGATACAGAGAGGCACCTAGAGCTAGATTTGCGGAGGTACTTAGGTGCCCAGAGAACCAGCAGGTGCCTAGAAGGATTTTCAAAAGCCCCCAGGTCCCATTGGCTTCCCTGGAAGTTAGGGGCTAGCTGCATTTGGAAATCCCATGAGGCATCCACGTCTGAGTCTTGAGG